AAACATCCCAATGTAAAAGAAAAAATGCTTGCAGAAATTGATTCTATTGTACCTACATTTTCTGATAAATTATCATGCAATGATCTCAGAAAATTAAAATATTGTGAAGCTATAATTAAAGAAGCCAGTCGCTTAATACCAGCGTTGCCTTATACATTCCGTCACACTATTACTGAGTGTGAAGTTGCTGGATATAAATGGCCAGCTGGTACAAATTTTCATATAAATTTTGCAGGAGGGCATCTTCATCCTGAGAGTTGGGATAATCCTAAAATTTTTAATCCAGATAGGTGGAGTTTTGAAAATGATGGTAATATTAATAGAACTGGTTGGATGCCGTTTGGTGGAGGTACACGTATATGTCCTGGAAAAAATTTGGCAAATATCGAGTTACTTTTATTAATGTCTTCATTATATAAAAATTATAATGTTGAATTAGTGAATGAGCATGAGCCATTGAAAATTCATACTCAAGCGATTTCTTATTATACAGAGTTGAAAGTTAGAATTAGTCCTCGAACTTGATTTATTAATTTAGTTTTAGATGTTGTTTTTCTTTTTTTCACCATTTATAAAGAATGAATTTTGTATGCATTTAATAATTATTCGATGACAAATTCTATTAGCATAGTTATTATCAAATTTTTATGTGTGAAGAATTAATGAATTTCGATTCATAATACCGTACTATATCTTGCAGTAATTTAGAGTGCCAAATTTTGATTTATACCCAGGTATATAAGTATGGGAGTATCATATTTATGTACCCGAGCATATAATAGTAAAACATATAGAAGTATTCGTACAGTATACTCCCCTACACACGTACCATTTTAGGTACGTACTAAAATGGACTAGGGAGATACCACGGGTACACATGGGGAAATACGGTACCATTTCTAATAATAAACTACAATGGTGTACTACTGCATAAATATTTTGATTTCTTGCTTTCATTTTAGTAAATTAAGATTTTTTTTTTGCACCAACGAAAACTATGCTCTAATTTTATTCAATTTTAAATTATTTCTATTTGAGAAGATGATTTTTTGAATGGTATTTACAACAGCAGTTAAATCACCATCCTAATTAATTTCGCTGGCCAATCAGATTTCAAGTTCTTGTGTAACGAAAAGAAGTGCAAAAAAATCAAAACAACAAAAAAACGCTCGTAGCTCAAAATCTTGCCTATGATAGTGCCTTCTGCGTACTAACAAAAAAATTCCTCGTGAAATTTTACTATAACTATAACCCTTTAAACCAGACATTAACCTACTGGTGGGACTAAAGTATGGCGCCGTAATTCAAATTGTCATATGTCGTAATGTAGTAATGATTTACTACAAAAGTAGTAATTGTAA